TTTTTTTTTTTTTTTTTTTAGGTCTCATTATCGACCTCAAAATCGACTGACATCTCTCGTTTAACGACATTCTCAGAAGGTATTGTTGTTCAGTGTCGAGTGCATGCTCGAAACTCACGTGTAATGGAACCTAATGCAAATACATTCTGCGACTTCATTAATGACGGGGACGCGGTGTGTCACGTGGGGCCATTACACCGTGAACATACGGCTCTGCTGTACGTATACACGTTACTAAAGTTATCTAAGTTGTACCACTGTGTCAAGTCCTTCGGAGTTGGACGTGTGTCTATTCATTAGCGATATAATGCATCGAATTATCCATGCACGAGAGGCTATATATATTTGAGAGGCCGTATACATGTTGGAGAAAAAAAGGAGTATTTGGTTCGAAATTTAAAAAATTTTTGGAGAGATTGATGTACTGAAAATGTAATACGATCACGTATGTATGTATGTGTTTCGTTTAAATTGATAAGATAAATGATGCATTGGTGAAATCGTGTATGAAAATTTCGTCAGAGTATCCCTCGCACGTGGAGCATTATGTGGGGTTTAACTCTTTCGACCTTGGTGAGATTTTTTATTTTTCTGTATCTCATATTATTCTCTTATTAATTAATAAAATTTAATTATATATTGTATTATAATTGATACTATTTATTTTTAAAAACAAAAGAAAAGCAATTGAATAAGATAAGAGCCGGATCAAAAGGATAGAGAGCGTGCAAGAATATGGAAATTAGATATGAACGGTATTCAACTGCAGATATTACAGGTACAAGTATTTAAGGAATTTTATTATTTTTTTTTTTATTTATTATAAATATTATCGAATTGACAAGTACAAACAAATATAATTCGTAAAATTCACTTGTAAAAATTACTGTGAAAAAAAAATATATATTGACAAGAAATTGATAAGTTGCGACATGTAAAATTTTTACCAATAATATTAATTCAATTGCGCAAGAGGATTCGAGTTATAATATAACGAGATTTATTTCGCTTGATATAATATTTACCGAGGCTTTGTTGTTTCTCTTGGAATAACTGGTATGTTTTTTTTACATATATATATATACCAATCTCTTGTTTCGACAAATTGCAGACGTTACGATATTATACTCGTGTATGGAAACATAAAATTTCAATACAAGATTAACAATGATTTTTTCAGAGTATAACGTTCCTACCTTATTTCCTGGAAGTGGAAATTTCCAACGTAATTTGCATCAACGTCTTTTATTATTCTCTCTGGTAGTTAAACTCGTTTTTTAATTTTTTTTTTTTTTACCAAACTTTCCCGAATTTTGTAATATTTACAAACGAAAAATTAACGAAAAATTAATCCATAGGCGCGCACGTGTTAAAAACCAATTAAAAAATGTTTCTTCGAACGTTACATAAGAATCTACGATCTGACATTCTCTTATTCTTCTTTTCCACGATTTTTCCGTTAACAGCTGAAACGAATTTTTGAATTTGAATATTTGCATAATTTTTTTTATTCTTAAAATTTGAAATTGTCCTTTTTGAAAATCTTCAAAGTTTCTTCGACTTCGAGAAATAAAACGTGCATCACTCCTCTCGTAAACACGAATGTTTCCCATTCCTTGATACCTTGAGTGTTTTACATCATAAAACGACAGAAATTTCTTGATTACCTGATAGAATCGAACGGCATCTCTAATAGCGTATTACATTTCCTGACAGGATACTTTCGTCAATCCATCTGCGCGCACAGTTTTATGCACAGTTATTTGGATAATTCTTAGCATCGTAAGTGGAATTTTAGAAAGCAATCCATGCTCACAATGCGAAACTGTTCCGAACGCGACACGCCTGAAGGAACAGTTACCGAAGAAATGTTTCCACGAGTCGAACGAGTTTTATGAAAAATATTTTAAACGTATCCAATACCAATACAGAATTTTATTCCGAAATAATATACCGGTGAAATATTCGTTTCACACTTTATTTCGCGTCAACTATTTCTTTCTTGCAATTAAGCAGGAAATATTCCTGGCTTTTTCTTGCCTCGAAAATACTGTTTGTGGTATATTATCCGCGTGTTTCTCTTTAAAATATTAAATATTCTCCCCTCTGAGTAAAATTTCACGCTTCCAAGATAAATATCGCAATATTTTATACGTGGAGATGAATTTTAATTTTTGATCATAGAAACTTTTAAATTGAATTAAAAATTTTTTTCTTTTTTTTTATTGTAACGGATAGTTTTGCACAGTAATTTTTCACACATTTTAAATAAAAGAGTAATAAAAGATATTCATTTCTTTTATTTAGTTTATTCGATTTTTAACGATCTTTTTTATATCATGCATAAAAATTATAACAGCAGCAGGAAGAAAAAATTTCGAATTTTTTTTTTTAAAAATCATTAATAATAAACAATCGTTAAATTATTAAAAATATCTAAAATAATTAATACATTTGTTGTACATAAATTTGTTAAATTTATTAACACATTTTTAAATATCGAAAGATAAACGGAGTATAGTTCAATAAAGAGAGGATTAAATTTTTATTAAATAAACGAAGGAATATTATTTGACGAGACTCCGCTATTCATCGCAACTCCGTTAAGAAATTTTTCAATAAACGAATTATTTCCAACTTTGATTAATTATCGCTATAGATAACGTCACGCTGATAAAATCACGTACACGTACTCGTCGAGTTAATCATTTCATGTAATACAGCGAATCAAAAAAAAAAAAAAAAAAAAAAAAAAAAAAAAGAAAAGTTATATCCGCTTGCTTCTACTATCTTAATAAACATCCTTAAACTATTATAATAGCTTCGTATCTTTTTCAATTAATCAATCAATCTTTAATCCAATTTTATTCGAAAAAAAAAAAAATTCTTCCAGAATCGAGAGAGAATAGAATAGAATAGAATGGCAACAAACAATTTGAAAAATTCTACAATCCATCTTCGCGAGAACAGCAACAGCCGGGGGACAAGATTTCCAAAATGTCAGACCGGTTGGATTAACTCGGTTGTTCAAAAACACGACTGGCGTCCCACTTTCCAGCCCATCGTCGCGCCGATCAAAAATTCACCTCCTCCTGTTTAAATAATCTTAAAACGGCGTCGAGACGTCCATTCGTTCCGAATATTATATATATATATATATAATTGAAAATGCAAGAAAGGGGTACGGTTAAATTTTGTTCAATGGAAGCGGATCGTGAAAGCGCCACGCTCGAGGCTGGGCCGTGCTATGAATTTCAAGTTTCGCTCGGATACCTCGTTTCGACCGATCAGCCTTATTTATTTATTTTATTTTATTCTTTTTAAGGAAGCAGAAACGATGATGGCAGATATCTGAATCTCGCCACGGCGGATTTCCTGAC